GTCACCCATGCAGTCAGGGAAGTAAAAAGGAAATGCCTTTGCCACCCATAGCTACACCCTAGCTAGCACAATGATAAGTAAACTGCCTTTTTTTTTTTTTTTAAATGGATATATCCTACCTCCTAGAACTGGAAGGGACCTTGAAAAGTCATTGAGTCCAGCCCCCTGCCTTCACTAGCAGGACCAAATACTAATTTTGCCCCAGATCCCTAAATGGCCCCCTTAAGGATTGAACTCACAACCCTGGGTTTAGCAGGCCAATGCTCAAACCACTGAGCTATCCCTCCGCCCTCTTGTGGTATCTACTGGGACTTGTGGTATGTACCGAGCAGGTATTTTAGACAACAACTATTTTCCTTCTTTAATTTCCATTATTTTAACTCATCTGAATGTTGATTTTATTCAATATACCTGAAGAGGCCTCAAAATACTACAGAATGTCCTGTAGGAACAATCCTTCGCTGCCTCAGATGGATTGGTTGATCTAATGGATCTTTTCCACTTCTAAATTCTAATGATTTTAAAACTATTTCTACACAGGCACATGAGAAGCTGTAGCTTCTTCTACTCAAAACTTGCCTTGTTGCACAGATTCCATCTATAGCCAGAGATCAGTGGCCTGGGTTCAAAGGGCAACTCAGAGATGACAATCTGTACAATGCAATAGTCCTTTTGTCTGTCCTTTCCATTGTTACCTTTTCAGCAAAGGTACAAAAAGTTGATTTCTGTGAATAATCAGTGAAATAGTTCAGACAAGTTCTCTAGGACTTCTGACTAAGGGTACGTCTATACTTACCTCCGGGTCCGGCGGTAAGCAATCGATCTTCTGGGATCGATTTATCGCCTCTTGTCTAGACGCGATAATTGATCCCGGAAGTGCTCGCCGTCGACGCCGGTACTCCTGCTCCGCGAGAGGAGTACGTGGAGTCGACGGGGGAGCCTGCCGCGTGTGGACCCGCGCTAAGTTCGAACTAAGATAGTTCGACTTCAGCTACGTGAATAACGTAGCTGAAGTTGCGTATCTTAGTTTGAAGTGGGGGGGTTAGTGTGGACCAGCCTAAAGATTGTAAAATACAAAAAAAGTAGAGAAAACCAAATATACAAGCTGTACACTTCCACAGAGCATGACCCAGACCTTTGCAAGATTTCTCCAGTTATATATCTTCAGACATTGGGATAATGAACATCCTTCTCACTTTGACAGAAAAATGGTGCAATACGCAAATATAAAAAAGCAGATGGCACCAATCCAAGAAAATCCAGAACCAGGCACAAGAAGGGAACCTGGTCACTGAAGCCTCTGAATTGTTTAGACCCAGGAGACACTCTTCTTTTATGTGGCACAACATAACTCACTATCACAGAACTTTACAACAGGCAAAAATGTAACCTTCCTTCTACTGTTATTCACATTCTGTTTTGACAGTGAAAACATGAATCCCAATATTATTATTTTAAATTGCATAAAAGAATGAACTGACTCACACCTTGCTATAGTGGGGTTTGCTGCAATAGTTCACTTGTCACCAAGCAGTTACATAGTTTTTTTTCCTGACATACAGTAGCAGTGACAGCTTTTTACTACTCCTGGGGAACTGGAAAATCTACACTCCTCACAGTTCATACTGCACAGTAACATTGTTATTGTCTGTTCTGTCTCTCTGCTACAGGCAGCACATGCCTACGAAAATACCCAGCACAACACCTGACTTGATTCTTATATTGATTCCTCACTCAAACTAGTGCATGGAATGCCTGTATTTCATGATAATGCTAATCTTCTAACGGAGCAATCAGCAGAGACAGAGATTAGCATTCCACCATAATCATAGTACTTCAAAAAAGGGGAGTGAACATGTTAGGCAAATGACAACCCAGCAGCAAAAATCTCATAAAAATTAGACTTTTCATCCTTGCTTTCAGTCAGCAGGCTCAGTTAGCTGACAGTGTTAGTGGAAGTCAAGCAAATCACTATTCCAGACTGGGAAAAAAGAATCCTCAGTAAACCAGGTGGTTTTGGAAAGGGGCTCCCAGACTAGGGAGAAAACCATGACAAAATTAATATTTAAAGCATGCTAAAATACGCAATATCTTACTAATCAAAAAGTATTTTGGATGATTAGCTTTTCAGGGCAAGGACAGTCTCTTACTATACATCTGTACAGCACCCAGCACAGTGCGGTGTTGATACTGATTGGAACCTTTGTGATATACCATAATACAAATAGGTAGGATACAGACCACGGACACTAGGTACTGATTCTAGCCGTAGTAGCAAAAAAAGGTAGCAGGTTACAGAACAGTTAGGGATCAAACAAAGCATATACAGAATCAATATCCAGTGACCATGGTATGTATCCTATCTATTATGTATTAGGTACAAACACCGAGCAAGGAGAGTTTCAGCTCAAATGCCCTACCATTTCCAGTGAAACATTAATCAATCACATTCATTTCCCAGCAAGTATGCTCTAAGGTAGTGGTTCTCAAAGCCGGTCCGCCGCTTGTTCAGGGAAAGCCCCTGGCGGGCCGGGCTGGTTTGTTTACCTGCCGCGTCTGCAGGTTCGGCCGATGGCAGCTCCCACTGGCCACGGTTCGCCGCTCCAGACCAATGGGGGCTGTGGGAAGTGGCGTGGGCCGAGGGACGTGCCGGCAGACCGGCTTTGAGAACCACTGCTCTACGGCAGAAACAATGTCTCCTGCGGATAAATAAGTTTAAAGCCATGGTTATTTAAGTTCAGCCCCAGTGATTGGCTGTCAGTCACCTTAACCTTTAATGAACTACAAACAGTGCTACTACAGTTTTCAGCTTTGGGTTATGGGTAATTAGGTCCTTAGGAGTTCTTATGTCTATTACCTCCCCCTAAAGTCACACAAAATATGAGCCTTCTCTTGACAAAAAGGGAGCCACTATGTAAACTAATTTAAAACCAGAGAAAGGTGCTATCTTTGGTAGAGTTCAAATATGAAGCCAACTACTCTTGTAAGGATGTACATTCTACATTACTATTTATTCCTATTCGATTAATTTCTGTCATAAAATTAAAGTCACAGATACCACTCCAGGCATTGAAGCAGTCTGCCTATCTCAGGTGGGATCTTTATTCTATTGATACATCTGCCTTAGAATGAAATTGTAATTAATGCTAATACTATAATTACTGCCTATATATAAACAGAACATCATGCGCTAATTTTTGGCTAAATACCAGGGAAAGCGTAGACAGCAAGACATATTAGACTGTGGAATAGTCCAAGGAAAGTAGTTGCACTTTTGTCATTTGGAGCATTTAAAAGTAAAGTAATAGGTTAACAGTTCAAACCCTGTGAAGTCTGGTAGCAATTGACAACCGCCTCCATAGAACAGTCAGATGTAAGCAGTGACCACCACCCAAAAATTCACACACACAAGTGGTACCATTTACCACCATTCTTGGAAGTCTCAAGGAGAACCCATGGACTACTTTCTCACTTCTCAGGTGGCCCCTCCAAAACAAGGTTTAGTCTCATCATTGGAGCAAACTTTCAACCATTACTGCTGTACCCATTCTGTAATTTAACAACCTCAGTCTCCACTATTATTAATTTTTGAGAGGTTTTGTATTTACTAAAATGGCTTCAAGCTCTTAAAGAAATCTAATTCTCCATCTGGCTAATTATACTAGTTTATATTAAATCAAATTAGACTTGGAAATCAGTTTTGTGTATTTGAAAAATACTGTCCTAATTAGAGTATTTTTTCATCTTTGACAAAGCATGATGAAACAAGTAGTAATGAAGTGGTTGGTATTCCTTATATCTTTAACAATAAACTCTAATTCCAAGATCTTGTCCCTAACACATGGATTTATTAGGGTCCTCATCCTTCAAAAGCTATACTTGATAAAAATTATAAAAATTTTATCAACATTGTACAAACATGAAATCCTATAGTGCATCAGTTCTGCATGTGATTTGTTCTGAGCTATATTCTTATAAGCGTTACTTTAATAAAGAACATGAAAACCAGAATATATTTAACAGCACAGCACGTTCTTTCATTATCACATTTATTCTCCTGTGAATAAAAAGTATACCGTTACAACACTTATCTGGACATATGAAGGCTTTTTATTAATAGCACCACATATATTCTGAGCAATAGCCTTGGTTAAATCAGAAGGCTAATTTTTCAAATGGAGGAAGTTTAACAGGCAGAGCTGAATCTTTGCTTTGCTCAGTCAGCACTTTTAAATGTACCAAGTAAATCGATGTAGAATAGAAGAAAAGTGCAAGACAGACTTTTCTCAACCTTACCCCCATCAATCCACTAACTGAAATAGCTTTGCAAGCACATGTTGGAACAGATACCACTAGACAGAGACTACATCACTTGCAAACATTTTTCCACATGGATTAGGTAAACTAAGACACTATTAATACAATGCAGCTTCCTGGCTGCTCTAAACAGGATTAATCAATCAGTATACATGGCAGTGTGAAAACAGAGTCCCACGCTGGGTTCACTAAAAAACCCAGGTTTGGGGATAGGCTCTCAGCATCCACAGTCTACTTTGATGGAGCCATAGTTCCATTCACATAAACTAAACTGTCAATTTTTCTGTAATATAAAGAAGGCTAGAGTTACCCAACTTACTACATAAAGATTTGCTGGAGCAGTCTAGAATGACAGATGCTAGCAAGAGGTAGAACTAAAACAACTGTTGGGGTCACCACCATTTCTTCTTTGATTATGGAACACAACATGACCAATATAATGCACTAAGTGTAGCTCTCCAGTTCTGGAGATCAAACGCATACAAAATAAGCCACACACCATTTGAGAAAAGACCTAATGTTGGAATCTTTTCAAGCTCCTTGCTCCACTGGTGAAGATGCTATTTTACATAGTAGCTCTAGTCTATGGCAAGAGAAAAACTTGCTTTAAAACAGAATTCAAACGATTTAACAAAGCCTACAACTGGACTGATAATAAATAAAGATCAGTCTGGGTAACTTACCCGCTCCGCTGCTGAGGCCTCCTCACCAGCTACACAAACAGAAGTCATCTCCAGCACAGACAGGTTAGTAGGAGCATCAGTGGTGGAGGAAGACCTGGGCCGGCCTGAATGAATATCTTGGGAAGATTTCCTGTTGATCTGTGGGCTTCCCTTTGGGGCATCCGATTTGCCCCGCCTGCTATGCAGGCTTGTCCCTCTCTTCATCTTAGGTGGCACTCTGATCTGCTGAAGCACTCGATTCAGAGCTGTGGGGTGGGTGGAGACATCATCAATTTCAGTACAGGCGCTTTGGCTTTCCAAATCCATTTCGGGCTCCATATCAGCCTGAGTTTGTTGCACATCATGTGGAGACACCGAGGACCTCCTGCGCTGGTGCTGGAAAAGTTGCTTCAAGCCTTGGCCAATCACATTAATGTTCTCCAAAGCATTATGAGTAATTTTGGACAACTTTTGCTCAGATTCGTGTTGCTTTTTGGTATCTTGATCTTGGGATTTGCCTCCAGGATCAGGGTCATCATAGATCTGTTCACTGCCAGAAGGCTCCATTAGATGACACCCAACACGTTTATTTGACAACTCATAAATACAGATGTCCCCTGTCTTTATATATTTTTTTTAAATGCCAAGATTGTCAGCCAATTAGGTGTGCAATTGCTTCAAGAGCGACTACACATGCAGCTGTGCCACGGAGGTCTCATGCTTATCTAATGTTAAACAAAAGAGCCAATATTACACATCCATGCAGAAACTAGCAGGTTAAAAAAATCAATACAGAAAACATGCTGTTAAAGTCTCTCTCTCTCTCTCTCTCTCATTCAAGCATCCTTCAGCCATTATATTAGAAACATTTATGCTGTATGCAGAACACAGAGGCTATGAAAGGACTGCTCATTCTTTATCAATGAGAAAATGTCCAAGACAGGAGGTGGAGCTGGGGAAGTGAGAAAAAAGTTAAAAATGCTGCTCATGAAAAACAGGGAGTGCATGCAATAGAGCCCAGAACAGTACCTGATAGAACTTGAGCCACTGGGATTCATAGTTACATCAGTTATGCCATAATAGGTTAATCCCCACTGCAAGATTAATTGCTTTCCTTATCAATGATCTGATCTTCAAATGTAGTAGCTGTTCTAACACCTATCATATTTTAGATATACTGGAAAACATAGTAATGAGTCCACGGCTCATTACCAACCACAGCTGTTTATTTCCAATCAAATACTGTGGAATGGCTCATTACTACTAGTATCCATCAAGGCTACTGGTAACTGGATGCTAAAGCTTGCCTTCAAGTGGGGACAGGGAAACTACTTAGGTGTAACTGGTATAATTTAGTCTATAAAAGTATATGAGCAAACAAAATATGCCTTTCTAAAAGCAGATTACTAAGTGACTAGACAGGCAGAGGCAGCAGCACAGACGTTTCTAGCTCAGACATTTGAGAAGAGAAAGTGTTCAGCTTCTCCCAGCAAGTCTCAACCCCGCCTCCTCCCTTGCTTCAGATGGGAGTTGCCCACACAACACAGACTGCAGTTGAGTGCTAAGATGGTAGCACACTGCAGGAGGAGTGCAGCAAGGAGATGCGGAAGGGAGCACAAAGGATCTTTTAATATTAAAGCAGAATATTTAATGGGGGCTGGAGTAAGTGTGGGAAGGGTCACATTATTGCCATGGTTAATGAGATCACATGCTCAGAAATTGGAGGTTGTTTTCTTGCGGGAGAAGATTTTGATTGTGCTTGTATAAATATATACACCAAATCACAGAAGTCCGCTCTCAATCTTGGCAGGAGACAGCATGAAAAAACCATGATCTTATTAAAAATGCAACATATGTTTAGGATTTATTAGAACATTCATTTTAATCTTAACATAGCTGTATTGAGAAGGGATTATGATCCAAGATCTCCCTCAGTTTTGTGCACCTTAGACATAACACAATGGGTTAAACTGACATTCCAAGGTACAATTATAGCAGACAGCACAGCAAGACCAACCAAATGAGCTGCATCAAGCTCCTCCTCTTGGATGCCTTAGCAGATAGAGGCAAAGTGAATTACAATATTTAATAGGAAACAAATACTTTCTTGTGTTGTACTTTTCCTCTGAAGATTTCAAAGCACATTGCAAGCATAAGCCTCAAAAACTTTGGGGGTAAATTTATAACCCCATTTTACACAGAATGGTAGACTGAGGCACAGAAAGGTTAATGACTTGACCAAATTCATACAGTAATTCAGTGGCAGAGCTAGTAATTAAATCTAAGAGCCCCAACTCCCAATGGCTTAGTTTTAACTGCTTAACACAACCCTTCTCAAGTGACCTGTGTCTTTATGACTAAGGCTGCGATTATGTCACGGAGGTCACGCAAGTCACAGAATCCATGACTTCCAGTGACCACCGTGACATTGGGAGCCCCCGCAGCCAACCAGCCGCCGTGTAGTGTGAAAAACCGCTATCTGACTGAATTTGCTAGATAGGGTGAGCATGCTCAGTACACAAGAACTCAGCATGCTAAGTAACCTCTGCTGACGCCAGCAGCGGGCGACCCCTGCAGCAGCCCAGCCTCCGCGGGGGAACCCTCCTGCAGCTGCTCCAGTCCAAATCTAGGTCTCCATTCAGGCTGAATTTTGGAAAAAAAGACAAAACTAGGAAACATTTTCCATTTCGTTCAACAGGCAAAATGGTTCAGTGAACAAATCTCAGTGGTTAACAAGAGAGCCCCCAAAACTGTTTGGCACTAAACATATAACTTGACATATGATCCATACCTCCATATTTACTTTAAGAATTCCCAAAATTCATTATTCAGGCAGTCCTTGTTGAACTGCAATTAAGAACAAAGATGGCCAACTTATTCACTAAATAATACATGTATCGTCTCCTGCCATAGCACGTTTAATAGCTTACTGCTGGTAGCTTTGTTGATCAGTTAAAACACCCGTAACTAGAGGTGCATTAATTATTTGGTGAAAATCACTTCTGACTAATGTAGCCCTTTTTCTGTTTACAAACTAACCACAAATAGATGATTTTAACCTTTTTATATTTGAAAATAGTTTGATGAATAAAGCTTGTTTGCACACAGTCTGTTTGCAAACTGGTCACTAAGTATTCTCTATGTGCATTTATGACTGGACTACTAAAATGCCTTGACTTGTTCCTGGTTCCTTAGTGGCAAACATAAGGAAGTCCCTTTTTCTGTTTGCAAGTTATCTGCCTAACTTTGTATTTTTGTTTAATGAGCCTACTGTTGGGCAAAAAGTCCTTTTAAAAATGGTTAAGACATGCATTTCCAGCGTGAATAGTGTTCTTACAACCATTTACTTGTGACTAGCCTTCACGTTCCAGGAACAAATAAAAACTTGCTCTCCCAAACACTCACAAATGAAAGAGACTGTGAATACCAGCACGGTTAATCACTGCATTTTATTTGACTGAACAGTCACAAGTGGTGTTTGCTGTGATCACCCATTTCTATCCATAACACTTAAGACAAGATCTACAATATAGATGTTATCTAAAGTACGTCAAATTTTTCACCTAACAACCTTCACATTGTCCCTTTGGGAGGAAATTAAGTACAAACCCTTTCAGTATCTCTCTCAAAAGTCTGCAAATCTGGTTAATTTGAGAAGAAAGGTAGCAACACATCAAATTAATTTTGTAATAAATCCATATACGCTGTCAAAGACTTGACTGAACACTTTATAACACCTTTCTTATTACATCTCAAAATGCATTCAAATATTCATTCAATTGGACAGTTATTTCATAATAGCTTTGGGAAGTAAAGCTGCTCAAATTGAGCAGTTGGCAAAAATAGCTCAGAAGTGTAAAAAAAACATTTAGCACTTGCCTCCATCACTTGTCCTTACGCATGGCTGACTGGTAGGAGCCCCTCCATTGAACAGAAGCTGCAAAAGAAATTGGACATGAGGTCTAGCTCCTAGACAGAAGAGAGAAATGTATACATGTGGAAAGTGATATAAAATGAGTATGTTCTAAAACTAAATTTAAAAGATAGATTAAGTGCACCAGGAATAGGTTGAGCTTTCTAAAACTGTTTCAAAGTAGCCCAAGAGAGATAACTATAACTGAAGTTTAAACTAAGTCTTACAAGATTAATGGTGAAGTTCATGTGAAGGACTGCTCTCTATTTCGCAGAGTTTATGGTCTTTGGTATGTGTACACAGCATAACTGGATTTCAGGCTAGAGTCTGCAAGAACAGACTGGTCTGCAGCCATTTTTCTTTCCCTTCTATTTATTTTTAAAATGTCCTGGATACAGGTTAACCAGCTTTGCTCTGTGTTTATTTTGGGCTCACCTGCCATTAAATGAGAACTGTAGGCACCTTTGAAATAAGACCACTTTTCAGCTCATTTATCAATGAAGCTTGTGCGCCTGTCACCTTGGCTGAATTGATATTTTGTTAAGTCCAATGGCAACGCTTTGCCATGAATCACTACAGATATCTTCAAGTCCAGTACAGCAACTATATTCTCCTCCCCGCACCCCCCACGCCTTTTCTGGTGATGGAAGCATACAAACTGACAAAAGACTAAAGCGGCAGTGCTTCAACGTGCCTGTGTAGTCATGGCACCAGCGCTGGGAGAGAGCTCTCCCAGTGCTGTAAAAAAACCACTCCATGAGGAGAGTAGCTATCAGCGTGGTTCCCAGCACTGGTGCACTGTCTACAGTGCCACGTCACATCATAGAATCCACTTTTCACAGCTCCTAAAGACTGATTTGGAGATTTATATCATGACAGTTGCTTGCCTTTTCCCCTTCTTGACTCTGGTAAGGATAAGTGATATTTCCTAGTTTCCAGTAAAAAACAATTTTCTCATGCATGAATTTTCCATGAACAAAAACTATCACAGGGACTGGTTTAATAAAAAGCTTCAGCTTGTAGATGGTTTCTTTCATGAGTAGTCGTCAAAACCTCAGCCTACTTTTTATTTTTTGGGGGGGGAGGGGGCGTACAAATGGAGATGCCCTGTCCCAGCTTAATCTGAGCGGCATACAGACAGATGCATATCAGAGGCAATTTTTTCTTTCTGTAACAGATCAAATATTACTGGTGATGATTGTTCCAAAACACAACATGTTGCTGCAGAGAGGAAGAGTTACATTCTATTCTCTCCATTCTTGGCTCACTTTGCTTTTAAAAGAGTGAGCAGTGACACCACTACATCAAAAGTCAGAGAGATTTCTGAGATCTAAATTAGCAAAATATTTTGAAGAGATCAAAATTCTTAGTCCAACAAATTTTGATTTAGTTGTGTTAGATTGCTGCATTGAGGGCTAAGTTTTACTCCAATATATTTCTCTCCTCTCACAAATATAAACACTTGAAAGCGAAAGCTGAAAAACAGCTTAAGGTGGTTCCAAATAACTCAATAGCTTAAGAGCAAGACCACTACAGAACTACAGGATAAAGAGAGGAGAGGGAGAAGAGATAATTTCCTTTATTTGCAACATGAAAAAATAAAAGATTCTGCCTGATTTTTGCAGAATATTTTGAAGTAGTGTCACATATGTTACAACTGCTAGGTATTATTAGAGCCCTCAATAGTGTAATAGCCAAGCTCAATTAGCCAAGACACTTTTATTATTTCTGCTTCTAACATGCTATAAAATATTTACTCTAAATCAGCAGATACTACTGCAAACTGCTAGACATGGGCTGCAATTTTATGAAGTCACTTGTCCATTCTCCTGGCTGGAGACAGTGCACTGTATTTCAGTTGCTTCCAGGGAG